TCAGTAATCAAATAAACTCTCTCTTCCATTCTGCTGTTCTCGATCAAGTAGTCACTTGTCGTATTTGACACTCAGATCATCGCGTACCAGCATCACATTCCGGATAACACAAATCATAACATCTATGATTACAAATAATTCATTTCATGATGAATAATGACAATGAATGGCTTAAGAAATAGTTGCCGTTTGCACTTCACCCAATAAGGACATCTATCATGTTATAGAATTATACATTAAATTTTAATCATTGAAAATACCCCGAAGTAAGAGGCCACTCATCATATTCAAGCACATAAATCATAATCTTTTCAGTAAGAAATGACACTTTGAACCATTCATACGACATTGAAGTCGCTTGATTGATTCAAACTGAAAAGTCCACGCAAACACTGCTGCATCATACGATAAATTAAACAATGAAAAATCTCTTCTGTGTTGTCTGCTAATCGATATACCGAGTGAGTTTGTCTAGTAAACTGATCAGTTTTATGTGCGATCATTCTACCAGACTGATGAGTTAACTTCAGCTGATTTTGTACAGTTGGAATCATGCAAAACGGAATTCTGACTGATCTAATTATCCTACCAGTTGAGACAAATCAACAAGGTGTGACTGAAATCTTGCTCGAAACTGATGCACTCCATAAAATCTCAACCCATATCAGAACATAATTGATGCAATCTCCAATCAGTTAAACTAATACCAACCAACATTTCAACCCATTAACAAACCAGTTGAATCACATCTAACATCTAGATAAGCATGACAGTGATCAATATACCGTGATCAACCATTGTCAACAGGTAACTGCAAATACACACATCGATGTCCATAAGTCTAATAGAAGCACATAATCAACCAAATTCTTATCTGACTTTTCATGTCAATTGACCAGATTTGGCTTTTCCTTGTGATGAACATAATTTGAATGAAATTCCTTATAAAAATGAGGAAAGTTACATCATCATCATCATCAGATGAATCAAATGATGATCGAAATTCTAAAGGGATTTTGATAGATGCCGACTTTTCTACTGATCCATCTAGTGATCCACTGACGAACATTATTAGTGAAATTGAAGGCAGTGTTTCGAAAGAATCATACCCTCATGACCTCAACTCAAATGTCGTTCATTATCAACATCTGGTAATCTCTAACGAAATCTTCATTCAATGCGAGAAATGAAAGTCGCATTAGTTGTAACTTGGAGATATGATCATGTAAAATTATTTCGTTGTAGAGGATAACCTGAGAGAATTTACAGTTACAGATATCGTTTTTGTGAATCAGGATGTAAACTTCGAAACTTCCAAAAAGAAAATTGAGGTGTTACATCCTAGTGGAGATTATACTACGGGTAACTTCTGAGAAGTATTAATGGACTAATATTATATATACATTCCTGTTGTATAACTATCCATTAACTAGATTGTGTATGAACCCTACAGATGGTCAACCAAATGTAACAGGATACTTCAAATGCACACATTGAATTTCACACGTCTAACACCAAGAGTAAAGAGAATTTAGGGCAACATCCAATTGATTATATCATCATCATCATGATGATGATGATGATGATGATGATGATGATGATGATGATGATGATGATGATGATGATGATGATGATGATGATGATGATGATGATGATGATGATGATGATGATGATGATGATGATGATGATGATGATGATGATGATGATGATGATGATGATGATGATGATGATGATGATGATGATGATGATGATGATGATGATGATGATGATGATGATGATGATGATGATGATGATGATGATGATGATGATGATGATGATGATGATGATGATGATGATGATGATGATGATGATGATGATGATGATGATGATGATGATGATGATGATGATGATGATGATGATGATGATGATGATGATGATGATGATGATGATGATGATGATGATGATGATGATGATGATGATGATGATGATGATGATGATGATGATGATGATGATGATGATGATGATGATGATGATGATGATGATGATGATGATGATGATGATGATGATGATGATGATGATGATGATGATGATGATGATGATGATGATGATGATGATGATGATGATGATGATGATGATGATGATGATGATGATGATGATGATGATGATGATGATGATGATGATGATGATGATGATGATGATGATGATGATGATGATGATGATGATGATGATGATGATGATGATGATGATGATGATGATGATGATGATGATGATGATGATGATGATGATGATGATGATGATGATGATGATGATGATGATGATGATGATGATGATGATGATGATGATGATGATGATGATGATGATGATGATGATGATGATGATGATGATGATGATGATGATGATGATGATGATGATGATGATGATGATGATGATGATGATGATGATGATGATGATGATGATGATGATGATGATGATGATGATGATGATGATGATGATGATGATGATGATGATGATGATGATGATG